GTTTACCTTTATATGTACCTTTTTTATAGGAAATAGGGTAAATATGCTCATTTTATACATAATCATATATTTTTACCCCTATATTTAACCTTATTGTCCTTTTTTCTGGTTTTACTTTGTCTCTATTCTATTTTTATTATAATATTTGTAAACCAGGGGCATATTCTGCTGGTGGTACTTAAGTCCACTGAGCTGTTTTTTCAGCTCAAATTTATGCTTGCCGAGTCTACTATGTAACATTGTTTTTAGTTTTTCTACTTCCTGTTTATAGGTCCTTTGATACATGTCATGTGACCTCATTCAGGGTCAAAGGTCAAATAAGACACCATTTTCAATTTGATGATTGTTTGGACCTTATATAAACCCACATGTGCCAGGCTAACATTATGTACACTTGAAGAAGCCCTTTGTGGCGAAATGCATTGTGTTTTACTCTAAATAAAAGTATATTTTTTTTCTGACTACCTAACATTTGGGTTAGTCTCTTTAATTTTAAATACTTTTATATTTATCCTAATTTTTTTTACCTGGCATATCCGAACATCTGAAGCTTTTATACCATCCAAAGAATCCATGGTGGGGATTGTTCCATCCAGGTGCTTTACACAGAGCGGTTTGTCTGCTCTGTAAATTGTAAGTACATCTCCTATTTTATCCAGCACTTTTTTAATATAGAGAGCCTTCTATATATGGGCCTTCTCTTGTGTTTTTATTTCATATGACCTGCACTGAAAATATTGTCAGAGGAATATCCTACATGTGGGGAGTTTAAATACCACTGTATGCTGTTTTAACTCGAGCTGGATATAGCTCCCATAAATGTGAGTTTTCATTTCACAATCTCAGTGTTGTCTGTGGCCATACTCCTTTAAGTTACTGCACCATTGGTCCCCTCTGTGTGTTTTTTTCTTTCATATATGCAGATGAGGATTTGACCCAAGACATCTTGAGAATTTCTGAAGAATATACCTGTGAATCAGAGACTTTAATTTGCCTGTTTCCCTTGTATTTTTTCTATTATTTATTTTATTTATTCACTTTGTTCTTGGCGCACCCTGTACCTGTTGTTTTCTGTTTTCCAGTCCTTTGAAGGGTTTTGAGGGTTACTTTTCCTTTCCGGTGTGCAGCCTCCCCCTCCCCGTTGTGATCAGTTTGGATAGCGCTGTTCCATCCCTCTTTTGTCCTAGTTTTATTTTATCATATAATAATTCTAATGCAGTAACAAGGCTAGCTTGAATGACGTATCCCAAATGTTCAGGTGTATTCTCAGATGAGCTCGTTTCCATAGATATTTCAGAAGATGATTTTTCTGATGTTGAAATGTTCATTTTTTTTTTTTAATTCTTTATTTTTATTGTGCAGGTAGGTACATAACTTTGTCAAGATGCCACAACAGCGTATTTATACAGTTGCATGCAGGCTAGGTAGTGACATGAGTGTTTGCACATTTTTTTTTTTATATATATAACCAAGCTTAACTCAATGGGTAGTCCGTTAAGGCTTAAACAGTCTATATAGTATGCTTATGGCGCTGGAAGACAATATTGGTTAAGTTAGTGTCAGGCTGAGAGATACTAAGCATAAACAAACTTAATAATAACCGGTGAAACATAAATGATAGATTGCTGCTTTGCTATAGGTTACTGCTGTCTATCATTGCACATTTTTTATGGGTAAATGAGAAAAAATAGAAGTGAGTTGTTAGACAGGGCATGTACAAAATAGGTTAGCTGAGCTTGGTAACGGACTATGCTGAAAGAGATCTACGCGTAACCTACGTTTGTCTCAACAGTAACTGAATGTCCCTGAGGAGACAATTACACAATATGAGTGAATAAAACAATTAAACCTCATCTATGCATGGGTTTGTGACTATAAATGATTAGGAAACATAGCGCCAACAGTCCAGGCACAGGTTGATGCATGTCAGTCAGTGAAAGTGAAGCAAGGTGTGGCAAACCTAGCCACTTGGACTATAACTGGACACTATGCCTTTAAGGGTTGCCTATAGGTCTGGAGAGATATGCGTTTAACCTGTATGTGTATGCTTCATGTATTCCCTGCATTACCTGTAATTATCTGTTCCGCCGAATGCAAATGGCGGTTTGTATGGGGATTCCCTTTCGTTTCACGAACGGCACTTTGGAGGGCCGTTCGTGAACCGAACGCAAAGACCCATAATAGCCCACACACTTAGAGGCGTGTGGCGCTAGTTAACCGATTGCAACAATGTTGCAATCGGTAATTAGAGGCTCTCCTGGGTGGCCGTCGTTCGACTACCGACCATGCGGCGGTCGGCCATCTTGGATCCTTTGTTCCCTCAGCGGGGTTATGTCGTCGAGCGCCTGGTACTAAAAACGGCTACTCGACGGCACGAAACCCCGCTGAGCCTCCAGGGCGTTCGGGAGTTTCGGGACATTCGGTATTTTGTTCCCTACAAGCAATTGGTTCTTTTTATATGTTTTATACGAATTGTGTTATTCGTGCGGCGTTCGGTTATTTTAGCTGGGATCTGAGCGGTAATCTCACGAATGATGCACTCAGACCCCAGCTATCTACCGAACGTCCATTCGTGTAAATCCACTGTATATTCACCAAGTTAGGGATTTTTGTGTGAATTGTCGGTTCTGCTGCACGAGGGGATAATCCACTTAACGGTGCATTCTGGGAAGATGATCCCTCTCGTGCAGCGGTGCCTGATGGGAGAAATATGCTGTAATGTAAGTCCCCCATGTAGTCCCCTCTGGGAGTGCCCCTGGGGAGGGACTCAGGAAACCCCTTGCATGGGGACTTGTATAAATTGTCCTGCCGATTAAAAGGTTGTCAGTTGACTCTCAGAACTGTGTCTCGTCCGGTTACTGGGAGGTTGGGGATATTGCCTTATGGTTTTCAGCGCTTGACTGTGGATTCGTTTCTGAACCAGCGGAATTCGTGGATTTATAATTGGCGTTCCGCTACAATTGGTGGCAAGCGATGGGATCCAACTCTACAGCCGAATACAGCGCATTCGAATGAAAGGAATAACCGAACGGAAAAGGGAAAGGCAATTCGTATGAAACAAGCAGTTGAAAGCGAGCAGTGAATGGGGACGGATTACACAGCATTAAAGAGGCAGACGCTAAAGGAACTGCTGGAGGCTAGAGGAAAAAGCGCTAGCAACAAATCCAAAGCAGTACTTATTGCAGAGCTGATGGAAGGCGACCAAGCACACAGCAGCCCACCCCCTCCAGCCAGGGAGGAAACACCGTACCAGAGGGAACTGAGAACCCGGTTAGAATTTGTACCCCAGCCAGTACCCCTGGACATCTTGACCGTACTGATGGCCGACGTCCAGGACTACATTATGGCACAGCAACCGCAGGGGGCGCCCTCCAGGGCAGAATCCATCGCCAACTCATTCTGCACTCCAATAAAGCAGAAAATACCTTACCAGGCATTTAAAGCGTTCTGCGAGGAGAAGGATGAGATAGACGGATACCTGCAGGATTTCGAGAGGTTATGCGACCTACACGACCTGGAGCCGGCAATGTGGGTACCCCTACTGGCAGGCAAGTTGGCGGGACGAGCAGCAGAGGCTTACCGCGCTGTGCCCAGAGAGGACAGCAAGGACTATTTTAAAGTAAAAAGGGCAATTCTAGAAAGGTATGCCATAACCCCAGAGGCATACCGGCGGAAATTTCGGGGATTGAAAAAGCCCGAAAGAGATTCTCACGCAGAATGGGCGCACAAGCTGGACCAAGCGTCACAAGGGTGGATTCAGGCAAGCCAAGCCACCACCATGGAGGAACTGCGCCAACTCATCTTGCTGGAGCAGTTCTTCAACGGCCTGTCACCAGAAGCACAGGAGTGGGTAAGAGACAGAAAACCCCTCACCCTCACAGCAGCCGCCCGATTGGCAGACGAACACTTTGATGCCCGGAGGCACAACGGGCTCACCAACCGGGTTCCCCTGAGACCGCCAATACAACACCACCCGGCCATCTCCACACCTGCCAACTCTACTCCATTCAGGCCAGCACCAGGAAACCCTCCACCACCATCCCGCTACAATGGCCGGGCCAACATACAATGCCATACATGCCGGCAGTGGGGGCATATGTCCCAGGAGTGCACCCAGAATCGGAGTAGGCAGGCGTGGAACCAGGTACGACAAAACTCTGCTCCAAGGGCGGCGGCCCATCTCTATCACACAGAACCTGACCACTCGGAGCTGGCAAGTCTACAAACCGAGGAACCATTGGGGGTTCTGTATGAAGTGATGTCTGTGCAAGCCACGGACAACCGGCAGCATCACCGCCAAGTTGTGTTTGTGGGAGGGAAAGAAGTGCAGGGGCTGAGGGACTCGGGAGCCACCTTGACCCTAGTGGCCCCACATTTAATTCCAGATGCGGCCCACACTGGCGGATCAGTGGCTGTACGGGTACCAGGGGGAGCCATGTACCGGTTACCCACGGCCAAGGTACATTTGAACTGGGGTGCTGGGGAGGGGGTTGTGGAAGTGGCCATAATGAAGAAGTTACCGGCAGATGTTGTTTTGGGGAATGACTTGGGCCAGATGACTTCTGCTTTTCTACCCCAGCCCCCTTCACAAGAGGCGCACCCGGTAACCACCCGGCAACAGGCTCGCACCACGGCATCTCCCGCACACTCTGAGGCTCAGGTAAGAAACCATGACCCCCCCTTGACAGACATGACTTGGGACACCCCAACCACTTTTGAAGCCGTGGTTCAGACAGACCCCACACTGCAGGTGTACCGAGATAGGGTAGACACGGACCAGGTGGGGCGGGAGGGAGAACGGTACGTTTGGGGAAAATAAGTTGCTGTACTGGGTGGCGGAAAGGGAAATAGGCAACTCTGTGACGCTCCAAACCAAGCAACTGGTAGTACCCCAGAAGTATAGGCAGGAGTTACTTAGAATAGCTCACGACATCCCCCTGTCCGGCCATTTAGGGATGACCCGGACCCGGTATCGCTTAACGCACGCTTTCTTCTGGCCCGGGATTTCTAAAGACGTGCGGCAATATTGTACCTCCTGTGATGTGTGTCAGAGGGTAGGCAAGAGGGGGGATCGCCACAAGGCCAAGCTATGTCCCCTACCCATAATTGAGGAACCGTTCAGCCGTGTAGCTGTAGACATAGTGGGGCCACTACCAAAGCCCAGCCCCTCTGGGAAACGGTATATCCTGACCGTGGTGGATTACGCCACCCGGTACCCCGAAGCGATTGCCCTAACCAATATCCACGCTGAGACCGTAGCCGAAGCTTTGATGAAAATATTTTCCCGAGTAGGGTTCCCACAGGAAATGGTCTCCGATAGGGGGACCCAATTCACGGCTGAGGTTACTCAGCAGTTATGGAGGATATGTGGCATTAAGCCAATCATTAACTCCGCCTACCACCCGCAATCCAATGGATTATGTGAGAGGTTCAACGGTACCCTAAAACAGATGCTCCGGACATTCGGAGAGACTCATAAGGACTGGGAACGATTCCTTCCCCATCTGTTGTTCGCTTACCGAGAGGTACCCCAAGAGTCTACCGGGTTCTCCCCATTTGAACTGTTGTTTGGGAGAAGGGTCCAGAGACCGTTGGATCTCATTAGGGAGCATTGGGAGGGAGAGAGTAGTGCAGATGGGACCCCTATTGTACCATACGTGCTGGCGTTCCGGGATCGCCTGGAGGAATTGACCCAGGCAGTACGCACAAACCTCCAGGCCGCCCAGCAACGACAGCGTCGTTGGTATGACAGGGGGGCCAGAGACCGTAGTTTTCAAGTGGGACAGAAGGTGTTAATCCTCAAACCTGTCCGCACCGATAAACTGCAGGCCGTCTGGCAGGGCCCATACCAGGTGGTAGAGCAGAGATGCGACACCACCTATGTGATTGGCCCATGCTCCGGAGTAGGGAAGAGACGCATGCTCCATGTGAACATGCTCAAACCCTACCACGAGCGAACTGAGGACGTGGCAGCTATCTGCACGCCCGCCTCAGAAGATCAGGAGAACTTGCCTCTCCCAGAGCTATTAGAGCAGGAGGAACAGAAGGAACCCTCCCAGGGGGTTCAGCTGGGGGAGCGGCTAAGTCCTCAAGAGCGTATCCAGGTACAAGAACTGATAGCGACAAAGGGTGCCACCTTTTCTAACTTACCTGGGTACACTCCACTAGCCACTCACCGAGTAGAGACCCCGGGACAGCTTCCCATGCGACAAACCCCATATCGGATTCCTGAATCCGTGCGGGAACATATGAGAAAAGAGATTGAGGAGATGTTGCAGTTGGGGGTTATCGAACACTCCGATAGCCCCTGGGCATCGCCGGTAGTCCTGGTTCCCAAGAAAGATGGTACCACCTGGTTCTGCGTGGACTACCGGAGGTTGAACGACAAAACCGTGTCGGACGCTTACCCGATGCCTCGGATAGACGAACTGCTAGATAGGATGGCCAGGGGTCAGTATCTCACTACAATAGATCTGTGTAAGGGATACTGGCAAATTCCACTAGCCGAGGACGCCATCCCCAAGTCGGCGTTTGTCACCCCGTTTGGCTTGTACCAATTTCGAGTCATGCCATTCGGGATGAAGAACGCCCCCGCGACATTTCAGCGGATGGTGGATCGGCTACTGGACGGGTTCCAGGATTATGCGTGTGCATACCTGGACGATATTGCCATCTACAGTCAGACCTGGTCGGATCACCTACAACATATAGGGGCTGTAATAGATCGGATCCGGGAGGCAGGGCTTACCTTGAAACCCAGCAAATGCCACATAGGGATGGCAGAGGTCCAGTACTTAGGACACCGGGTGGGTAGCGGGCAACAGAAGCCTGAACCCGCAAGATTGAAGCTGTAGCCCAGTGGCCTACCCCTAGGACCAAAACCCAAGTCCTTGCTTTCCTAGGTACCGCAGGGTATTACAGGAAATTTGTGCCCAATTACAGTGCCCTGGCCAAACCCCTGACTGACTTGACGAAGAAAAACCTGCCCAGGCAGGTCATCTGGGCCCCAGAGTGTGAACAGGCATTCAACCAACTGAAGACGGCTCTGACTAATGCTCCTGTACTGGCTGCTCCCGATCCAACTAAACGTTTTCTTGTCCACACAGACGCCTCCATGTTTGGATTGGGAGCAGTATTAAGCCAGGTCGGAGCCGATGGCGGAGAACACCCCGTAGCATATTTGAGTCGAAAACTGTTACCTCGAGAAGTGAGCTACGCCGCCATAGAAAAAGAATGCCTGGCCGTGGTGTGGGCCCTGAAAAAGTTACAGCTCTATCTCTATGGGCAACCCTTTTCTTTGCTCATAGATCACAACCCGTTGGTATGGCTAAACCGTGTGGCTGGAGACAATGCCAGGCTGCTGCGCTGGAGTTTGGCGCTGCAGCCCTTTGACTTTACAATCCATTATCGCCCAGGGAAACAGAACGGTAACGCCGACGGGTTATCTAGACAAACAGACCTGGAGAAGTGATCTGTGAGCGCTCCTCCGGACATCCCCAAGCCGATCCGTTGGGATCAGACTGTGTATGCCGGCTTGGTTCTGGGGGAGCATTGTGGCAAACCTAGCCACTTGGACTATAACTGGACACTATGCCTTTAAGGGTTGCCTATAGGTCTGGAGAGATATGCGTTTTAACCTGTATGTGTATGCTTCATGTATTCCCTGCATTACCTGTAATTATCTGTTCCGCCGAATGCAAATGGCGGTTTGTATGGGGATTCCCTTTCATTTCACGAACGGCACTTTGGAGGGCCGTTCGTGAACCGAACGCAAAGACCCATAATAGCCCACACACTTAGAGGCGTGTGGCGCTAGTTAACCGATTGCAACAATGTTGCAATCGGTAATTAGAGGCTCTCCTGGGTGGCCGTCGTTCGACTACCGACCATGCGGCGGTCGGCCATCTTGGATCCTTTGTTCCCTCAGCGGGGTTATGTCGTCGAGCGCCTGGTACTAAAAACGGCTACTCGACGGCACGAACCCCGCTGAGCCTCCAGGACGTTCGGGAGTTTCGGGACATTCAGTATTTTGTTCCCTACAAGCAATTGGTTCTTTTATATGTTTTATACGAATTGTGTTATTCGTGCGGTGTTCGGTTATTTTAGCTGGGATCTGAGCGGTAATCTCACGAATGATGCACTCAGACCCCAGCTATCTACCGAACGTCCATTCGTGTAAATCCACTGTATATTCACCAAGTTATGGATTTTTGTGTGAATTGTCGGTTCTGCTGCACGAGGGGATAATCCACTTAACGGTGCATTCTGGGAAGATGATCCCTCTCGTGCAGCGGTGCCTGATGGGAGAAATATGCTGTAATGTAAGTCCCCCATGTAGTCCCCTCTGGGAGTGCCCCTGGGGAGGGACTCAGGAAACCCCTTGCATGGGGACTTGTATAAATTGTCCTGCCGATTAAAAGGTTGTCAGTTGACTCTCAGAACTGTGTCTCGTCCGGTTACTGGGAGGTTGGGGATATTGCCTTATGGTTTTCAGCGCTTGACTGTGGATTCGTTTCTGAACCAGCGGAATTCGTGGATTTATAATTGGCGTTCCGCTACACAAGGCATCACAGGTAGTGCATTGTTGGGGGTTTAGACATGTTCTTTTTGGGGGAGTAAACGTTGCTAGGAGGTTGTGTTTTATTTTAATTAGTTGTTTTCTTTAATTTCTCAGGTTTTCCGTTTTTATCAGACGTCTCTCCTTTTGAAGCCATCTTAGACACGCAATGTTAAGTTCAGTAATTTGACTTTCCATCCTCCCTTCCTCCACTCTTATTAATTAGTCACTTGCCTTTTTTATATCTTTTGTCATTAGATTATATATCAGCCAAGTTTCTAATTCAAGAATAAAGTGTTTATTTTTCTCCTTCTCTTTCTCCTTCTTTCTTTATCCCTTCTTTCACCCGCCCCTCCCCCTTTTTTTTCTTTTATATTTTGAAGTATTCAGCCTGTTTTAAGTTGTTCATTTGTGAACCAATATCAAGGTTTAATTCTTGATTATAAGAATGCTGAAACAATCTGCTTTTTAACTGTCCAGCTGCAGATAACTAACTCCACACAGTTGGCTGGTATGTATGGAACCTTCCATGGATCTCTATTAAGCCTCCTCCTCTCGAACAACAATTGACCAGCCCTCTGGTGTACAACAGCCAGATTTATCTTACGTGTTTTTTTTTGCAGTGAGTCTCCGATCAGTCTCTGGTCAGTCGCACAGACAAGCAGGAAACCCGCCGTCGATGCCTGTTAAATCTTCCCACAGTTTCAAATCAAGCCGCCCTACCATATACATCAGCCAGGGCCAACATTCGTGGGTTTCATCACAAGACTCTGGTCAGTCACACTAGTGCTCTTTCAAAACTCTCGTTCTCAGTGCGAGGCATTCAGGGACCTCAGTCTTCGGCACTCCAACACGCCACAAACATACGTGTTGCATCGCTTACATCATGCCGTTCTGACGATACCGTAGTTGTATGTTATATGGTTCTATGTCTCCTAGTTAGTGCATAGTACTTTAGAGTGCTACAAGGGTGCAGATTGCTTTTAGTTACCCATAAGTTTACCAGTTGCCAGAAGCAATTAGTTATGGGAAAACACACACCCTCATTTTTAATACTATGCCTCACTATGACAAGGCCCAGTTGCAATAATGATTTTCTTCTGTTTCAGGTATGGCTATAACGGCTGCTGCAACAGCACATGTAATGGCAGAGTGGAGGAGAAATGTTTAGGGTTTAGGGGTCGATAAGCATTCTCACAATTTGTTTTTGGGTCCAGATTTGGTTGATGCACGGAGTCATGTTCAGTTGGGAAGAGACAGTATTTCCTTCCAGTAACTAGTCAGGAGCCGTGGTTACATCCAATACATTATCTTACAACCAGCATAGTTTCAAAAGTTTTCAACATTTCTCACTGGTATCATTTTGGTATAATTTTGCCCAGTTTTGCCAATGAATTACATCATTAAGTCCTTCATGCTTATCATCCTAGCAACATAGGACGTTTTCTTGATATGTAGTCGTTACTGAATCAGTCAAGGTACAAGTAGGCCTTTGTTGATTATTTCTGTTCTGAGATTAGGTGGTATTTTTTGCCCTCTTTTTCAGGCTTATACGTTCATCAGTTTCAGCACACCACAAGCGACTTGCTCTAACTGGTATACCTCAAAAATTATTGTATGTCCCCGACCACAAATAATTAAATATCTGCTGAAGTGAATGATTCCCTCACACACAAATCAGCTATGGAGAACCTCTGCCCCTCTGCTAACTCTGAATCTGAGCTAACATGGCTGGCTGCTAGGTTGCCACATTGCCTCTAACAATGCTTCCCGCACAGACACAGGCCAAGAACAGGTGTAGGGAAGGGTGTGGAACTAGATGCGAGCTTGAGCAGGAAAGGGCAGGGAAAAGTGTAGTGTGCAGCCACAATGCATGAGGCATAAGGAACATGTGGCGTGGGAGGTATGTCACGGTGTGAGTACGTATACCAGGCCAGAAATTAAAATAAAGCTCAGTCGGAGGGCTTGGCAGTGATGATAGAAGCAACACGTTCAAGTAACTAATTCAATGTAAAAGGAATTAAAAATGTGGACCTATTGATTGCACTTTAACATCTGCAATTAGATGAGTTTGTTATAGTGAATACAGTGTTGCTTTAATAGTCAATCACCAAAATAGGAACATTTAAAATCCATTTACACAGCATTACACGCGTTCAATAAACGTAGAACTTGTACAGTTAATCACTTGCAGCTCGCTAGACGCAGGACTGTCTTTTAATGAGTCAGCCCCTAGCAACATGTCAGTATATTGGAATGATATCGGATAGAAGCACAGGATTACAAACGGAACAGGCAGGTTTTAAATAAGAATAGTAGAAGCTAAAGTAATGTCATGATAGGGAACCCCTTGAACTAGGTATGGTCTCCTGGAAGTAAAACCAAGTAAACATGGAATGAAATAAAGTCAGGCTTCGAAGTAAATCCATGCAAAAATGGTTTATTTAAAGGTTGAATTTAACTATGTGCTACATGGTCACCAGGTAACATGCTCCATGAAATCTGCCTGAATTTTCCAGACATATTAGATGATTTGTTAACATCTGAAAATTACATCTACTGGTAAAACAGGTTTAAAGGGTTATTCCAAGCAGGGCCAGCCTTAGGCCATTGGGCGCCCCCCAGGCAGACAGTCAGACACAGTTACAGTCACACCACAGGCAGACACTCAGACACATTCTCACACACACACAGGGAGACAGACACAGTTACAGTCACACACACAGGCAGACAGACAGACCATTACAGTCATACACTGTCACACACACACAGGCAGACAGTCACACACAGTAACAGTCACACACACACAGGCAGAGGTGACACACGGGCAGACAGTCACACACAGTTACAGACACACACACGCACACACAGACAGACACAGAGTAGAGTCACACAATTACCTCTTTCCATTATGGCTGGAAGTGAGGAGTAAAGGCAGTGCAGTTCCTGTAGCCTAGTTGTTGGGGAAGCAACGACTCCTTCCTGTGCAGCTGTCCAGGAGCTTCTGGGAGCTTTAGGCTCTGCCCCTGCTACCATTTTAGCCCCACCTCCTCCACTGGGTAGGCTCCACCCCATCCCCCCTGGTGCCTTGCTCTATACTTTTATAGTCCTGGGTGGAAAATAATTAATCCTCCTTCCGGGTACTTGCTCCCCCTGCACTCCTGTCACCCGTCCATGTTTGAGCTGTTGTGGCCACATGGCACACCCTGCTCCATGACGCACTTTGCGGCCTCTCCGCTCGCACAACCCTAAGGCCGGCCCTGATTCCAAGTACCATCACCATGTCAGTGATGTGAAGTGGTGACGGTGCCTGGAGTCTGTATGTGTAGCTTTCGCGTAAAGCACAGTCCTGTCAGAATTGTCACACCAACTCCAGCGCTGTAAGCACTGGCGACAGACAACAAATGGGGCATGCACATGTCCCCCTCAGCCCTTTCTCCAGTCTGTACCTCCCTCTGCAGTGAGTGGGAGTGACATGACCAGAGGAGGATCGGGCTGCCGAGAGAACAAGCCAGCAAGGCTTACTCTATCCAAAAACAGTGCTTTATCTTATTTGATTGGAACAACCCTTTAAAAATTAATATATGTGTAACATAAGCGTTTGACAGATTTTAGATCATACTGTCCGGTGTTTGGATACAGAACTCAAAGTTAATCAGGAGTTGATCCTTCGATGGGTGTTGATGACATCTCTTCAATAGTATGATTAGTGTTTAGTGTTTAATTCAGCTAAAAATCATCCTCCGCAACTGACCCAGTGACAGCTGCAGGAATGATTGGAAGATCAGTTGATGCTTTTGATAAAATTTCAGTGACTTTATCAGCCAGGATGGTAACGTCAGATTCGTCCGATGCTATATTACTGTAGGCGTCATTCATGCTTATAAAACGTAAAAAATTATCATCGCCCGATCTTTCAATGCTTGTAGAGTTTACATCTGCTGGATTGCGTGTATGATCAGTTGCTTCTTGTGCAAAGCTTTCAATGGTGTTATCAGACAGGACTTTGCTATCAGGCTCGTCGGGTGAGATATTATGGATATTAAATTCACTTTGTAAAAGATGTGTAAATGTATCATCTTCATCACCAGACCCTTCACTGCTTGTGGACTTGGTGGATGTTGGCATGATTGGAAGAACAGTTGGTTCTTTTCATAAATTTACACTGGTATCAGACAGGACTGTAATCTCAGATTCATCCGCTACAGTGTTTATAAAACGTAAAAAATGTTCATCACCTGACCCTTCACCAGACCCTTCAACGCTTGTAGACTTCGTGTCTGTTCGAATTATTGGAAGATCAGTTGGTTCTTTTGATAAATTTACACTGGTATCAGACAGGACTGTAATCTCAGATTCATCCACTACAGAGTTTATAAAATGTAAAAAATCGTCATCACCTGACCCTTCACCAGACCCTTCACTGCTTGTGGACTTGGTGGATGTCGGCATGATTTGTTCTTTTGATAAATTTACACTGGTATCAGACAGGACTGTAATCTCAGATTCATCCGCTACAGAGTTTATAAAACGTAAAAAATCGTTATCACCTGACCCTTCACCAGACCCTTCACCGCGTGTGGACTTGGTATCTGTCGGCATGATTGGAAGAACAGTTGGTTGTTTTGATAAATTTACACTGGTATCAGACAGGACTGTAATCTCAGATTCATCCGCTACCGTGTTTATAAAACGTAAAAAATCGTCATCACCTGACCCTTCACCAGACCCTTCACCGCGTGTGGACTTGGTATCTGTCGGCATGATTGGAAGAACAGTTGGTTCTTTTGATAAATTTACACTGGTATCAGACAAGTCTGTTCGAATTATTGGAAGATCAGTTGGTTCTTTTGATAAATTTACACTGGTATCAGACAGGACTGTAATCTCAGATTCATCCGCTACAGAGTTTATAAAATGTAAAAAATCGTCATCACCTGACCTTTCACCAGACCCTTCACTGCTTGTGGACTTGGTGGATGTCGGCATGATTTGTTCTTTTGATAAATTTACACTGGTATCAGACAGGACTGTAATCTCAGATTCATCCGCTACAGAGTTTATAAAACGTAAAAAATCGTCATCACCTGACCCTTCACCAGACCCTTCACCGCGTGTGGACTTGGTATCTGTCGGCATGATTGGAAGAACAGTTGGTTGTTTTGATAAATTTACACTGGTATCAGACAGGACTGTAATCTCAGATTCATCCGCTACCGTGTTTATAAAACGTAAAAAATCATCATCACCTGACCCTTCACCAGACCCTTCACCGCGTGTGGACTTGGTATCTGTCGGCATGATTGGAAGAACAGTTGGTTCTTTTGATAAATTTACACTGGTATCAGACAAGACTGTAATCTCAGATTCATCCGCTACTGTGTTTATAAAACTTAAAAAATCTTCATCACCTGACCCTTCACCAGACCCTTCACTGCTTGTGGACTTGGTGTCTGTCGGCATGATTGGAAGAAGAGTTGGCTCTTTTGATAAATTTTCACTGGTATCAGACAGGACTGCGATCTCAGATTCAACCTCTACAGTGTTTATAAAACGTAAAAAATCTTCATCACCTGACCCTTCACCAGACCCTTCACTGCTTGTAGACTTGGTGTTTGTCAGAATGATAGGAAGATCAGTAGGCATTTTTGCTAAATTTTCAACAGCATTATTAGACAGGGCTGTGATCTCAGATTCATCCAATGCTACTACTACATTTGAAGTTACCGCCTGGTCAGTTGGGTTAGTATCCAGAACAGATGCAGTGTTAACAGGCATGCTAGTGTTTGCATATTGAACAGTTGTGGTTACAGAAGATACATTTTTGGGTTCACTTATGGTTATATCAAGAACATTAATGATTGCATCACTGACACTTGTTCCCATGATATCTATGGTTGTAGGTAGAACAGTTGAAGTAGAATCAGTGACACTTGTAGTTATGGGTAGAACAGATGGACTTACATCAGGGACACTTGTGGTTGTAGGTAGATTAGTTGGAGTAGCATCAGGGATATTTGTAGTTGTAGGTAGATTAGTTGGAGTAGCATCAGGGACATTTGTAGTTGTAGGTAGAACAGTTGGGCTAGTATCTGTGGCACTTGTGGTAGAAGGTAGAACTGTTGTGTTAGTATCCGCGGCACTTGTGGTAGTAGGTAAAACTGTTGTGGTAGTATCTGCGACACTTGTGGTTGTAGGAAGAACAGTTGTGGTAGTATCCGTGGCACTTGGGGTTGTAGGTAGAAAAGTTGTGGTAGTATCCATGGCACTTGTGGTAGTAGGTAGAACAGTTGGGGTAGTATCCACGACACTTGTGGTAGGAGGTAGAACAGTTGGGGTAGTATCCACGACACTTGTGGTAGGAGGTAGAACAGTTGGGGTAGTATCCACGGCACTTGTGGTAGGAGGTAGAACAGTTGTGGTAGTATCCACGGCACTTGTGGTAGGAGGTAGAACAGTTGTGGTAGTATCCGCGGCACTTGTGGTAGGGGGTAGAACAGTTGTAGTCATATCCGTGGCACTTGTTGAAGTAGGTAGAACAGTTGTGGTAGTATCTGTGGCACTTGTGGTAGTAGGTAGAACAGTTGTGGTAGTATCCGCAGCAGTTGTGGTAGTATCCGCAGCACTTGTTGAAGTAGGTAGAACAGTTGGGGTAGTATCCGCAGCACTTGTGGAAGTAGGTAGTACAGTTGTGGTAGAATCGGGGCTACTTGTGGTTGTAGGTAGAACAATTGGGGTAGAATCAGGGACACTTGTGGTTGTAGGTAGATCAGTTGAGGTAACATCAGGGACACTTGTGGTTGTAGGTAGATCAGTTGGAACAGTGCCAGAGGCCCTTGTGGTTGTTCCGGCAATAGTTTGAGTAGTAACTGGGGCACTAGGAGTCTCAAGGACTCCTGTGGCTATACCTTGGACATTTGTTGTTTTTCTAGTGATGTCTGAGGCTGTATATGGGATAATTGGGATTTTAGTTAAAATACTTATTAAAGCTTGAACAGTTGTGGCTACTTCTTGTATGTCTGGAGCAATTGTAGTTGGAGCTGTTGTTGTGGAAACAACTTTGGCTGTAGTTGGTATAGTTGTAGTGGAAATGGCCTTGGCTGTAGTTGGCATAGTGTTGGCAGAAACCATTGTGATTGAGGATGGCACGGTAGTGGTCACTGTTGTTGGTAGAATGGTTGTGGTGGTTGAAGGCATTTTGATTACTGGATCTGTAATAAAGTAAAGTAAAGTGATCAACAACAGTTTTTTTCATTTTAGCATATCAAACATTTTTTCTCCTCTGTCTCTCTTCCTCCGTGCATCTCATTAGTGACCAGACCATTTTCCAATTTTTCTTACCGTTTGGGACCTAGGCTGTTTTTACATTTCTGCTGTGTTTGTGTTTAGCTGTAATTTTCCTCTTACTCATTCACTGTACCCACACATATTATATACCGTCTTTCTCGCCATTAAATGGTCTTTATAAAGATACCATTATTTTCATCATATCATATAATTTACTATAAATTTTTTAATAAAATATGATGACACCCTAGGGTATTTCAAATGGTGGTATTTTAACACTTTCCATGCACTAATTCTACCACCAGTCTTTGTCAAACATTTGGGTAGTCGTTTTTTTTTCCTCTCGCATTGTACTTTAGGCATGTTACTGACAAACAACACCCCAATATGTGTTCAGCAACATCTGAGTACAACAGTGCCCCCAATGTACAGGTTTTATGGGTGTTTGCAAACTTACAGGGGTCAAATGTAGGGCTTCCTCTTTTCCATGTTTGCACATTGAAATTTGCCAAATTGGTTTGCTGGGCCTATGTTTCCTTTGAGACCATATAGCAGCCCAGGAATGAAAATTAACCCCATTATGGCATACAATGTGTAAACGTAGACAACCCATGGTATTCAAAATGGGGTATGTCCAGTCTTTTTTAGTAGCCACTGGGCAAAATTAGCTTTTATATTTTTGGGGGCATTTTTCCCACTTAAACTGCCATTTCACCGATGATATTAGCTCTAAACACTCATATTTGTGTAGACTCAGAGTAATGTCTCACAAGTACAACAGTACCCCTCAAGTACAGATTTTATGATGATTTGGAAAGTTACAGGGTCAAACATACGATTTGCCAATTTCTGTTTTGGTAAATTGCTATTTGCTAGATTGGCTATGTTGCTTTTGAGACAGTACGGCAGCCCAGAAATGAAAATTAACCCCACCATGAAATACAATTTGAAAAAGTAGACAACCCACGGTATTCAAAATGGGGTATGTCCAGTTTTTTGTAGTAGACTGTTAGTCACAAACGCTGGCCAAAGTTAGAGTTTTTATTAGTTTTTTTGAATTTATTTTACACAAAAACTGCACTTTTACTGGTGACTATCATCGCTGTGATAAGTTTTACTGTTTTAAACACTCATATTTGTGTTCAGCGAAGTCTCCCGAGTAAAACAAAACACTGGTTTTATGGTGTTTTGGAAAGTTACAGGGTTAAATATAGGGCTTGCCAATTACATTCTCTGGACTGTCTGTCTGGGTTGTAAGCAGGTCTCTCAAATTATAATTAAATATATATGTAGATTGTGTGTGTGTATGTGTGTATGTATGTATGTATGTATATATATATATATGTATATGTATATGTATATATATATATATATATATAAATACAATGTTTTTTTAATTTATATCTTACATTTATTTATATATGTGTTTGTGTTAGGGGCACAAAGCCGCATAAGGAGTAAGGCTAAGTATAAGCGTAGAATAGTATAAAAGAGCAAGTCGGTTGTGGTGTGCCGGAACCAACAATGCTGTAGGCCTGTAAATAAACAAGGGCAAAAGATGGTCAATCAAAAAGTTTAATACAGTCAACAATACATACAACTTATCCAGACATTTCCTTAAAGGCATTACGTATCTCTTGGACTGGTTTGGGCATGTAATGTGTATAGGCAGAAGATTTCCAACGCCCCAGTGTTTTAGTTATGTGCACTGGTATGTTGACACTGGATGCTGTGGAGGCCGCCCCTATTCTTAAGGAATGACCAGAATAGTTAGAGGGGTTAAGGCCTAGCTGGGTTATCAAGCACATTGCATAATTTAGAGGTCGTAAGGATTGAGCCGTGTAGAGAGAACAACGGCTGTGAAGGATGTAAGTTGGAGTTCTGAAGATAGGAGTCTAGAACCAATACCGGGCACCATTTATTGAGGGTAGGGTAATACGTTATTTCTACAGGTAGGGCATGTTGACTCATTTTATTATTATTATTGCCATTTATATAGCGCCAACAGATTCCGTAGCACTTTACAATATTATTAAAGGGGATTTAACTATAAATAGGACAATTACAAATAAACTTACAGGAACAATAGGTTGAAGAGGACCCTGCTCAATCGAGCTTACATTCTATAGGAGGTGGGGTGTAAACACATTAGGACAGGAATGTGCAATCAAATAAGGTGGGCTGCCCTTTAGGAGAGGGCAAGAGACGGGTATGTGAGGTAGGGGTTAGTCTTGGAGGCCATAAGCTTTCCTAAAGAGATGGGTTTTAAGGCACTTCTTAAAAGATGCAAGACTAGGGGAGAGTCGGATGGCGGTAGGCAGGCTATTCCATAGGAAGGGAGCCGCCCGCGAGAAGTCCTGCAAGCGCGAGTTGGCCGTACGGGTGCGGACAACGGACAGGAGGTGGTCACGGGCAGAGCGGAGAGACCGAGAAGGGACATACCTGTGGATCAGTGAGGAGATATAAGAGGGGCTAGAGTTGTTCAGTGCTTTATAGGTGTGAGTTAGTGCCTTGAATTGACTCCTATAGCACACAGGAAGCCAATGTAAGGACTGGCAGAGGGGTGAGGTGTGAGAGAACCGACTAGAGAGGAAAATCAGTCTAGCAGCAGCATTCATTACAGACTGTAGGGGTGCAGTACGGCTTTTGGGAAGACCAAGCAGGAGAGGGTTACAATAATCCATGCGTGAAATTATTAGAGCATGGACAAGCTCCTTGGTAGTATCTGGTGCAAGAAAAGGGCGGATGCGGGCTATGTTTTTAAGATTTTAGTGTGTGGTATAGCCAGTATGTAATGGTCCATGTGTTTGTGTATGTGAGATCGTCTAAGGCAATGTTGGGTATGTGTTGTGGTGGCCATGAAGCTATGGTTGCTAGGCCACAGGGTTAGCATATGATGATTACAAACATCTGGTATATGAAGACATACTAAGAAAAATTGGTAACATGCCACTAACCAGGTTAGTTTCCTGAGAAATCTCATGATTGTTAAAGATGATTTGCGGCCTTTGTTGATAATCTGGCATGTGGCCTGGTTGTCTGAGTAGCAACGAACGGACAACCCAAACCATAAATGACCCCAAACCACAGCAGCCGCCACAATTGGGTAAATCTCAAAAAGTGCTGAGGTAGTGGAAAACCTTCCAAATTCTGGACTTCCGCAGTCCAGCTACACCAAAGCCATTTGTTCCTATATATTGCTGCAAAACCCGTGGTAGACGCCGCGTCTGACTAAATGGTTGGTGAATTCTCAGACAACCCTGGGAGGAACATGCTTTTACCATTCCATATGGTTAAGAAATTCTGCCACATAAGTAGGTCTGCCGTGGCTTGGTCATCCAGGGTCAGTCTATGTTAGTCATTATAAAAGTGTGGGAAGAGACAAAGCAATCTGGAGATAAAATTGCGGCCTTGTGGAATGATGCTCATAACAAAATTTAAGGAACCTAATAGGAATTGTAACTCTTTACGACTGCATGAACTTAGGAGATAGTGATTGATGCAAGTGAGTATGTTCCCTATCTTGTCCAAGCTTGCCTGCATGGCAATAGAATCTAGTTGGATGCCTAGGAAGTTGATGTCCGAGCCTTCTGTTTTCTTAGGGGATACTGGAATCCCCAAGTAGTCAAAAAGGCTAATGGCTTCACTGAGGCTTCTTGGGGGAAGGTGTTTTCTTCGACCATTAAAAAGTCACTTGCAAACATGAAAACCTGTCAAATATTTTAGGGCTACTTTTTGACCCAAAAGCTAAATGTGAAAAAAAAAAAATAGTAACTGCCTTCCCATTTAATGCCATGTAGGTGCCAAAGTGTGGGATGGATTGGTAGTAGTTTAAAAAGGGTTGACTATATCAGTCTTGCTTAACCAAGCTCCCACCCCTGCTTTGATGATGGCTGTAATGGCATGGTCAATGGTGGCGTACTGTAGGGAAACTCCTCAGAGGGACTCAGTGAGTTGAGATTTGGAATTGCAGAGATGCTGATAAGTCAAATATTAGTCTTTGTTTTAAGAAGGTTTTCTCTGTGACAAGACAGACAGGGTTTGTCCTCCATACAGTAAATGGTGGGGACTGGAAAGGCCCTAGCATGAAGCCCTCAGCAAGTACTTGTTCTATGAGAGTGTTTACAGCCGTGGGATTCTGCTGTGCTGACTGCAAGTTAGGGCATTCTAGATTCCCTGAAGGCATGTTTATGATTGAAAGCCTCCCGAAAATCCTTAGACTAGGAAATTCACCAGATATCTAGAAGGATATGTGGACAATAAAGCTCACAATGTATTAATGTTAGTACAAAATGAAACAAGGTCGGCACACTCCAATAATGAATACAAGTTAGCCCCAAAAGGAGCTCTAGATATAGGGTGCTCACTTACATGAGGCTCTATCCCCAAAAGCCCAGATACATGCAAATACAAATTGAGTAAGGAGCACAACCATAAATGTGTATATACACAAAAAAAAAATCTTTATTCAATGGGTACACATTAATAGAATATCTCATTACATGAGAAACTAAGAAAGTCATATCATGTTGTAAAGCAACAACCAGAAAAATTCTGTATGTGTGTATATATGTGTGTATATATATATATATATATATATATGTGTATGTATATATGTGTATGTATATATGTGTATATATATATATATGTGTATATATATGTATATGTATATATATATATATACATACATACATACACAGGGAGTGCAGAATTATTAGGCAAATGAGTATTTTGACCACATCATCCTCTTTATGCATGTTGTCTTACTCCAAGCTGTATAGGCTCGAAAGCCCACTACCAATTAAGCATATTAGGTGATGTGCATCTCTGTAATGAGAAGGGGTGTGGTCTAATGACATCAACACCCTATATCAGGTGTGCATAATTATTAGGCAACTTCCTTTCCTTTGGCAAAATGGGTCAAAAGAAGGACTTGACAGGCTCAGAAAAGTAAAAAATAGTGAGATATCTTGCAGAGGGATGCAGCACTCTTAAAATTGCAAAACTTCTGAAGCGTGATCATCGAACAATCAAGCGTTTCATTCAAAATAGTCAACAGGGTCGCAAGAAGCGTGTGGAAAAACCAAGGCGCAAAATAACTGCCCATGAACTGAGAAAAGTCAAGCGTGCAGCTGCCACGATGCCACTTGCCACCAGTTTGGCCATATTTCAGAGCTGCAACATCACTGGAGTGCCCAAAAGCACAAGGTGTGCAATACTCAGAGACATGGCCAAGGTAAGAAAGGCTGAAAGACGACCACCACTGAACAAGACACACAAGCTGAAACGCCAAGACTGGGCCAAGAAATATCTCAAGACTGATTTTTCTAAGGTTTTATGGACTGATGAAATGAGAGTGAGTCTTGATGGGCCAGATGGATGGGCCCGTGGCTGGATTGGTAAAGGCAGAGAGCTCCAGTCCGACTCAGACGCCAGCAAGGTGGAGGTGGAGTACTGGTTTGGGCTGGTATCATCAAAGATGAGCTTGTGGGGCCTTTTCGGGTTGAGGATGGAGTCAAGCTCAACTCCCAGTCCTACTGCCAGTTCCTGGAAGACACCTTCTTCAAGCAGTGGTACAGGAAGAAGTCTGCATCCTTCAAGAAAAACATGATTTTCAAGAAGGACAATGCTCCATCTGCAGTCAAGAGTACTCCCACAATGCATTGGCTGGCAAGAAAGGGTATAAAAGAAGAAAATCTAATGACATGGCCTCCTTGTTCACCTGATCAGAACCCCATTGAGAACCTGTGGTCCATCATCAAATGTGAGATTTACAAGGAGGGAAAACAGTACACCTCTCTGAACAGTGTCTGGGAGGCTGTGGTTGCTGCTGCACGCAATGTTGATGGTGAACAGATCAAAACACTGACAGAATCCATGGATGGCAGGCTTTTGAGTGTCCTTGCAAAGAAAGGTGGCTATATTGGTCACTGATTTGTTTTTGTTTTGTTTTTGAATGTCAGAAATGTATATTTGTGAATGTTGAGATGTTATATTGGTTTCACTGGTAATAATAAATAATTGAAATGGGTATATATTTGTTTTTTGTTAAGTTGCCTAATAATTATGCACAGTAATAGTCACCTGCACACACAGATATCCCCCTAACATAGCTAAAACTAAAAACAAACTAAAAACTACTTCCAAAAATATTCAGCTTTGATATTAATGAGTTTTTTGGGTTCATTGAGAACATGGTTGTTGTTCAATAATAAAATTAATCCTCAAAAATACAACTTGCCTAATAATTCTGCACTCCCTGTATATATACACATATATATATATATATATATATACACACAGTTGCAAGAAAAAAGTATGTGAACCCTTGGAATGATATGGATTTCTGCACAAATTGGTCATAAAATGTGATCTGATCATCATCTAAGTCACAACAATAGACAATCACAGTCTGCTTAAACTAATAACACACAAAGAATGAAATGTTGCCATGTTTTTATTGAACACACCATGTAAACATTCACAGTGCAGGTGGAAAAAGTATGTGAACCCCTAGACTAATGACATCTCCAAGAGCAAATTGGAATGAGATGTCAGCCAACTGGAATCCAATCAATGAGATGAGATTGGAGGTGTTGTTACAGCTGCCCTGCCCTATAAAAAACACACACCAGATCTGGGTTTGCTTTTCACAAGAAGCATTGCCTGATGTGAATGATGCTTCGCACAAAAGAGCTCTCAGAAGACCTACGATTAATAATTGTTGACTTGCATAAAGCTGGAAAGGGTTATAAAAGTATCTCCAAAAGCCTTGCTGTTCATCACTATCTAGACTCACAGTGGGTGAGCATCTGTATCTAGACTCTGAGTGGGTGAGAATCTGTATCTAAACTCGCAGTGGGCGAGAATCTGTACCTAGACTTGCAGTGGGTAAGAATCTGTACCTAGACTTGCAGTGGGTGAGAATCTGTATCTAGACTCGCAGTGGGTGAGAATCTGTATCTAGACTCGCAGTGGGTGAGTATCTGTATCTAGACTCGCAGTGGGTGAGAATCTGTATCTAGACTCGCAGTGGGTGAGAATCTGTATCTAGACTCGCAGTGGGTGAGAATCTATATCTAGCGAGTTACTATGCCACTACTGGAGTTACCATTATGTGAGTTACTATGCCAATACTGGAGTTAGCACTATGTGAGTTACTATGCCAATACTGGAGTTACTATTATGTGAGTTACTATGCCAATACTGGAGTTAGCACTATGTGAGTTACTATGCCAATACTGGAGTTACTATTATGTGAGTTACTATGCCAATACTGGAGTTACCATTATGTGAGTTACTATACCAATACTAGAGTTACCATTATGTGAGTTACTATGCCACTACTGGAGTTACCATTATGTGAGTTACTATACCAATACTGGAGTTAGCACTATGTGAGTTACTATGCCACTACTGGAGTTACCATTATGTGAGTTACTATGCCAATACTGGAGTTAGCACTATGTGAGTTACTATGCCAATACTGGAGTTACTATTATGTGAGTTACTATGCCAATACTGGAGTTACCATTATGTGAGTTACTATACCAATACTAGAGTTACCATTATGTGAGTTACTATGCCACTACTGGAGTTACCATTATGTGAGTTACTATGCCAATACTGGAGTTACCTTTATGTGAGTTACTATACCAATACTGGAGTTACCTTTATGTGAGTTACTATACCAATACTGGAGTTACCATTATGTGAGTTACTATGCCAATACTGGAGTTACCTTTATGTGAGTTACTATACCAATACTGGAGTTACCATTATGTGAGTTACTATACCAATACTGGAGTTACCATTATGTGAGTTGCAATGCCAATACTGGAGTTACCATTATGTGAGTTTCTATGCCAATACTGAAGTTAACATTATGCGAGTTACTATGCCAATACTGGAGTTACCTTTATGTGAGTTACTATGCCAATACTAGTTACCATTATGTGAGTTACTATACCAATTCTAGAGTTAATATTATGTGAGTTACTATACCAATACTGGAGTTACCATTTTGTGAGTTACTATGCCAGTACTGGAGTTAGCACTATGTGAGTTACTATGCCACTACTGGAGTTACCATTATGTGAGTTACTATGCCAATACTGGAGTTAGCACTATGTGAGTTACTATGCCAATACTGGAGTTACTATTATGTGAGTTACTATGCCAATACTGGAGTTACCATTATGTGAGTTACTATACCAATACTAGAGTTACCATTATGTGAGTTACTATGCCACTACTGGAGTTACCATTATGTGAGTTACTATGCCAATACTGGAGTTACCTTTATGTGAGTTACTATACCAATACTGGAGTTACCTTTATGTGAGTTACTATACCAATACTGGAGTTACCATTATGTGAGTTACTATGCCAATACTGGAGTTACCTTTATGTGAGTTACTATACCAATACTGGAGTTACCATTATGTGAGTTACTATACCAATACTGGAGTTACCATTATGTGAGTTGCAATGCCAATACTGGAGTTACCATTATGTGAGTTTCTATGCCAATACTGAAGTTAACATTATGCGAGTTACTATGCCAATACTGGAGTTACCTTTATGTGAGTTACTATGCCAATACTAGTTACCATTATGTGAGTTACTATACCAATTCTAGAGTTAATATTATGTGAGTTACTATACCAATACTGGAGTTACCATTTTGTGAGTTACTATGCCAGTACTGGAGTTACCATTATGTGAGCTACTATGCCAATACTGGAATTACCATTATGTGAGTTACTATGCCATTATTGGAGATACCATTATGCGAGTTATGACAATACTAGTGTTACCATTATGTGCGTTATAATGCCAATACTGGAGTTACCATTATGTGAGTTACTATACCGATGCTGGAGTTACCATTATGTGAGTTATAATGCCAATACTGGAGTTACCATTATGTGAGTTACTATACCGATGCTGGAGTAACCATTATGTGAGTTGCAATGCCAATACTGGAGTTACTATTATGTGATTTACTATGCCAATACTAGTTACCATTATGTGAGCTACTATGCCATTATTGGAGATACCATTATGCGAGTTACTATGCCAGTACTGGTTACCATTATGCGAGTTACTATGCCACTACTGCAGTTACCATTATGTGAGTTACTATGCCATTTTTGGAGATACCATTATGCGAGTTACTATACCAATACTGGAGTTACGATATGTGAGTTACTATGCCAGTACTGGTTACCATTATGCGAGTTACTATGCCACTACTGGAGTTACCTTCATGTGAGTTACTATGCCAATACTAGTTACCATTATGTGAGTTATAATGCCAATACTGGAGTTACCATTATGCGAGTTACTATGCCAGTACTGGTTACCATTATGTGAGTTACTATGCCATTATTGGAGATACCATTATGCGAGTTACTATACCAATACTGGAGTTAGCACTATGTGAGTTACTATGCCACTACAGGAGTTAGCATTATGTGAGTTACTATGCCAATACTGGAGTTAGCATTATGTGAGTTACTATGCCAATACTGGAGTTAGCACTATGTGAGTTACTATGCCAATACTGGAGTTACCATTATGTGAGTTACTATGCCAATACTGGAGTTACCATTATGTGAGTTACTATGCCAATACTGGAGTTAGCATTATGTGAGTTACTATGCCAATACTGGAGTTAGCATTATGTGAGTTACTATGCCAATACTGGAGTTAGCACTATGTGAGTTACTATGCCAATACTGGAGTTACCATTATGTGAGTTACTATGCCAATACTGGAGTTAGCACTATGTGAGTTACTATGCCAATACTGGAGTTACCATTATGTGAGTTACTATGCCAATACTGGAGTTAGCATTATGTGAGTTACTATGCCAATACTAGAGTTACCATTATGTGAGTTACTATGCCATTATTGGAGATACCATTATGCGAGTTACTATGCCACTACTGCAGTTACCATTATGTGAGTTACTATGCCAATACAGGAGTTAGCACTATGTGAGTTACTATGCGAGTTACAATGCCATTATTGAAGTTACCATTATGTGAGTTACTGCTTTCTGCTCAACTTTTTTATTGAAATTATAATTTTCAATATCTTTATTTCATGACTGTTCCTCAGCTGAGGATCTCTGCAACACGCAGTGCAATATATATTACTGCATGTTATAGTGTTCTTAGATTATTATGTGGGTGGTTGAAGCTACATGGTGATTAATCTCTGCAGTTTCCACTTCTCATTTGAAAAACCCACCCATAATTCTCAGTCATATGTGCCTCTGGCTATGGTTTACACAGGACAATCGTTACTCTCCCTTCTGTAAATATCTCTCAATTTGCGCTGCTTTACTCTACATTACTGCTCGTACCAGTGTATGGGGTCCAGGTGACCTGGGGTGGGCCCATTTTGACTAGGACCTCTTATCAGTGCTCCAAAATATTTCTAGTCATTTGTTTTGAACCATTTATATGTAACCATTAAACTGTATCTTTGTGTATATATTTCTTTGCTGACAAACTGAAAATTTCAAATTCTGTACGTTTTATACAATTTTTTTTTAATTATTTTATATTTTATTACAGCCTCTATAAAATATTTGTGGAATGAAAATCATTAACCAGTATAATGTGTCCCTTATCTTGCAACATTTTACACAGGATCTGAAATGTTAGTATAAAAGCAAAAATACTGTTTTCTCACATGGAGTAGATGTCACAAAATAGAATAATAAAAATGGTTACATACTTTGCTTATAGATATTAGGACCCTGAAGGCGTTACTAGCAATAAAGCTTATTGAAAATGGCAACATAATGTGGAAATAATGTCTGCTTCTCAGCATCAAGTCCACATACAGTAAACACAAATTCTAAAAGGTATCTAAAACTACTATAGCAATTTATATCAATCTCTTGAATGCTAGTGTAATATTAACAATGAAATGGTAGAGTCCATTCAGTCTTCCCCCCCTCCTTGACTGTGTGAATGGTATGTCCCATTGGAACTTCCTTGATTGTTTGGAAGCCGGTTGGTTGCTAACATTTTCAACTTACTTTAAAGAATTAAATCAGTGACTAGTGGCTTCTGGCAGAGAAATTTGTTTTTTTTTTTCTACATGCTGGTAATCATAACTAGAGTATAAATGAGGGTGAATGACGCTTTATTGACTACATTACATTGTGCATGTTATAGTGCATAGTGTAGATAAACGGTCTAGATGCACTAATTTATTTAACCCCTTAAGGACCAAACTTCTGGAATAAAAGGGAATCATGAAATGTCACACATGTCATGTGTCCTTAAAGGGTTTGTTACAAAATGCCTTTTGAAACTGTTCCTTTAAATGACAAATTGCCAAGCTCCCCTGGATTATGGAGGAGCCTATTTGCCAGCCTATGGACCGGGTGTGTATGGCCCTTTAAGACAGTCGGTGGGCATATTGGGGCTTATGGACTTTTTATGGGACTGTTGCTGGCCCTTTAAGCACCTTTTTGGGGCATAGGAAACATTGGGACACTGCCCCTTTAAGACGGTGTCCCCAGACTTGTTTGGGACACTGCCCCTTTAAGCCTGTGTCCCCAGACTTGGTTAAAACCCTTTGTTCCTGGCTATTTGGTTCAGTAAATGGGGCATACTGAACCAAGTACCACACAGGCGCACCAACCAGAAGATTGGATGTATGGTTTTAAAGTTATAGTAAATGTAGAAAAACTGTATTTTTCAGAAGGGAGGATTTTGTGTGTAATTGCTGGGAGTGTTTTCTGTAATGTACGTGTGTTATTGGTTGTTCTGTAAAACCCTGTGGGTGGTCCTATGTAAGGAAAACCTGCATAAACAAAGGCCATTTGGTGCCAAATAAATGAGAATGACTTGACCCTCTAACTTTCAGCCTTGACTCATGTTTGTAGGGGACAGCTATAATCACTACAGGGATTGCTATGCTCTTCATACTCCCTTAGCCACTGAGCTCTTGTAAGAGCTCTTGTTCCTGATCCTGCTTCGCTCTACAGCAGGAAGAGGTTCACCTACTGAAACCTGGAGCCTGGTCGTAGGTCCAGGGTGGACAGTAGACGGCGAGATACCAGCCCAGCAGCGGTGGTTGGTGGAGTCTGCAGTACTTATGGTGACTACGCAGTAGTTATGGTGTCTACGGTGCTGATGGTCCTTTGGTGAGCGCTAGGAGCATCCTTTCTACGGTCCAACTTCCAGCCAGCCTGGAGGCAACCGTAACAGGGTTAAACTGATGTATCAACTGTTTTCACTCTACAATAAACCAGACCGATGACTGACCAATGTTTTCTCTGGCAGTGTATTGGATCCCTCTTGTGATCTATAACTATGAGGTGGGATCCTCCCTAACAATCACTATAATTGATATATGTATTCACATATGGTATGTGTGTGTGTATATATATATATGTGTGTGAAAAAAAAAGTTTCCAAAGATAGCACTCCAGGGACTTGAAAAAAGTTCGCTTTAATTACCTTCCAAACATCCAAAATGTCAACGTTTCAGCCCAATAACCTTAGGCTTTCATCAGGACATAATGTGTATACAGATAAACCCACATTTATACCATAACATAAGTAATAACTCACCACACTTGTGAAGTGACTGACTCCATGGACGCCCGGACCGGGACAGCCGCACGGCGTCACGTTCAATGACGCGGCCAAAGGTCGTCACCATAGCAACCTAACAAAACAAATGTGATATAACACACTACTCTAATTATAAAAACAATGTATCCACTATCTTGCGCTATTTTCATGGGGATATAACCTTTACATTATTTCTACAGTATATAAATCTAACCATTATATTATTTAGAGCATGTTTAATATATAAATTAAACTGAACGGCTGAATAAGCCATCGGCTGAGTTAACCATAGCTACCAATAACTCCGAATTTATACAATTAGGCTTGTCAAACTAACCAAATAAATGTAAAGGTTATATCCCCATGAAAATAGCGCAAGATAGTGGATACATTGTTTTTATAATTAGAGTAGTGTGTTATATCACATTTGTTTTGTTAGGTTGCTATGGTGACGACCTTTGGCCGCGTCATTGAACGTGACGCCGTGCGGCTGTCCCGGTCCGGGCGTCCATGGAGTCAGTCACTTCACAAGTGTGGTGAGTTATTACTTATGTTATGGTATAAATGTGGGTTTATCTGTATACACATTATGTCCTGATGAAAGCCTAAGGTTATTGGGCTGAAACGTTGACATTTTGGATGTTTGGAAGGTAATTAACCCCTTAAGACCGCAGGGCGTACTATTACGTCCTCTAATAGGCGGCTCTAAACGCCGCCGGGCGTAATAGTACGCCCTCCGGTCTTTCTGTACTTACCCGGTCGCCGGCGGTCCCACGCCGGCGATCGCGGTGGGGGGGACTCCCAGGGAGCCCCCCGCGGCATGACCGTCCTCCAGGAAGCCCCCCGGCGTGTGAGAGTGGGGTCCTAGCGAGGACCCCACAATCACATGGCCGGGTATAGCTGGCTTCTGTATTGCCAGCAGGGGGGCTGCCTGTAATTACAGGGGGTCCCCCTGCTGGCTGAAAATAAAAGTAAAATAAGTTAAAAGTGTAAAAAAATAAAATTATATATACTTAGATCATATATATATATTATATATATATGATCAAAATATATATATACACATATACATACACACATGTACAGCGTCTAGGTGTATTTTACTATTAATATATATATAATTATATATATATATTAATATCAAATTACACGTAGACTGATACTGATTAAATATATATATAATTATTGTTATATATATATTTATATATAATATAAAAAAAATTAAAATGTAAATACGTTAAAAAATAAAATTACAAAAATAATTAAAAATAAATAATTAAAAAATATATAGATGTGTGTTATTTCGTTCTAACTGTATTGTGAAATTAATATATATATATATATATCAAAATACACATAGAGCGAAATAATATATATATTTATACACATAAATATATACGTATATATCACTATATATATACCTATATATAAATAAAAATATTTAAAAAAATTATATAGATATATACATATATATACACATACGTATATATATACATATATTGATTCTACATATATATTTATGTAATATTTTTACATAAATAGGTATCTTAATTAATTACAATTAGCAGGACCTGCATGACAACCCATGCCGAAAGTAAAGGGAATTTAATTTGCTAGCACTATATTTAACCCTATAACTTTCGGAGACACCATAAAACCTGTACATGGGGGGTACTGTTCTACTCGGGAGACTTCGCTGAACACAAATATTAGTGTTTCAAAACAGTAAAATGTATTACAACGATGATATAGCCAGTAAAAGTGACGTTTTTTGCATTTTTCACGCACAAACAGCATTAAACGGACAATATTATTGCTATGATACTTTTTACTGTTTTGAAACACAAATATTTGTGTTCAGTGAAGTCTCCCGAGTACAACAGTACCCCTCATGTACAGGTTTTATAATGTTTTCAAAAGTTACAGCGTCAAATATAAGGCTTGCGTTTCATTTTTTTCACATTAAAATTCGCCAGATTGGTTACGTTGCCTTTGAGACCCTATGGTATCCCAAGAATGAAAATTACCCCTATGATGGCATACCATTTGCAATAGTAGACAACCCAAGGTATTACAAACAGGGTATGTCCAGTCTTTTTTAGTAGCCACTTAGTCACAAACACTGGCCAAAATTGGCGTTTTTTGCATTTTTCACACACAAACAAATACTAACGCTAACTTTGGCCAGTGTTTGTAACCAAATGGCTACTAAAAAAGACTGGACATACCCCATTTGCAATACCTTGGGTTGTCTACTATTTGCAAATGGTATGCCATTATGGGTGTAAATTTCATTCCCGGGCTACTATACAGTCTCAAAGGCAACGTAACCAATCTGGCGAATTTCAATTTCAAATGTAGCGTGCTATATTTGACCCTGTAACTTCCCAAAACGCCATAAAACCTGTACATAGGGGGTACTGTTTTACACGTGAGACTTTGCTGAATACAAATATGTGTATTTTATTGCAGTAAAAGCAAACAGTATTATAACACTGACCGTTTAATTGTCATGTAGAACTAAAAAAATCCAATAAAATCGTATTTTCTCCCATTTTTTTCATATTAAATTATGTTTCATAGCTAAATATTTGATATTAAATGAAAGCCCTGTTTCCCTGAATAAAATGATATATAATAAGGGTGGGTGCATTTACTATGAAAGAGGTGTATTACGGTTGGACAGACATGTAGCGCAAATGCCAGGTTTTGTTTACATTTTGTTTTGTTCACAACGTGTACATTTGGCTCCGTCCTTAAGGGGTTAAAGCAAACTTTTTTCAAGTCCCTGGAGTGCTATCTTTGGAAACTTTTTTTTGTATTTTGGCTGACAAGCACCGGGCATTATATTAATTAAGAAGGTGGAGTGCAAGATTATTCTCAATTTTTATATATGTGTGTGTATGTATATATGTATATATATATATATATATATATATAAACATAGAATGTGACGGCAGATAAGAACCATTCGGCCCATCTAGTCTGCCCAATTTTCTAAATACTTTCATTAGTCCCTAGTCTTATCTTATAGTTAGGATAGCCTTATGCCTATCCCACGCATGCTTAAACTCCTTTACTGTGTTAACCTCTACCACTTCAGCTGGAAGGCTGTTCCATGCATCCACTACCCTCTCAGTAAAGTAATACTTCCTGATATTATTTTTAAACCTTTGTCCCTCTAATTTAAGACTATGTCCTCTTGTTGTGGTAGTTTTTCTTCTTTTTAAATATAGTCTCCTCCTTTACTGTGTTGATTCCCTTTATATATTTAAATGTTTCTATCATATCCCCCCTGTCTCGTCTTTCCTCCAAGCTATACATGTTAAGATCCTTTAACCTTTCTTGGTAAGTTTTATCCTGCAATCCATGAACCAGTTTAGTAGCCCTTCTCTGAACCCTCTCTAAAGTATCAATATCCTTCTGAAGATACAGTCTCCAGTACTGCGTACAATACTCCAAGTGAGGTCTCACCAGTGTTCTGTACAATGGCATGAGCACTTCCCTCTTTCTACTGCTAATAGCTCTCCCTATACAACCAAACATTCTGCTAGCATTTCCTGCTTTATTACATTGTCTGCCTACTTTTAATTCATCAGAAATAATCACCCCTAAATCCCTTTCTTCATATGTTGGGGTTAGGACTCTATCAAATATTCTGTTCTCTGCCCTTGGGTTTTTACGTCCAAGATGCAGGCCCGGACTGGCCATCGGGCATACCGGGCAAATGCCCGGTGGGCCGCGATGGCCGTGGGGCCGAGGCCAGCAGGGGAGATCACAGGATCTCCCCTGCCAGCGCTACCCGAGCGCCGGCCCTGCATAGTGCCTCCATGGGCCGGTGGGGAGATCAAAGATCTCCCTCACCGGCCAACAGGCAGTGTTACAGGCGGCCGCAGGCTGGGGAGGGAGGGAGGCAGGAGAGAGGATCGGCGGAGCTCTAACCAGCAGCTCCGCCGGGTCCTCTCGCGGGATTCTGAGCATTGCCGCGGTTACCACGGCAACGCTCAGATCTCGCGAGAGTGAACTCTAGCCTGCAGGCTGGAGTTCACTCTCAACACTCGACCACCAGGGAAGCATGACAGCATGGCCCCCCCTCATGGCAACACGGCTACCCCCCTCCCAGGCTAAAGGTAAGAAGGGGGGGGGGGAGCATAACTTTTTTTTTTTAATTATTATAATATAATTATTAATAAAATAAAAAAATATTTAAAATAATTTCCCTAACAGCCTCCCCACACACACACACACACACACAGCCCCCCCAGACACACACAGCCCCCCCAGACACACAAAGCACCCAGACACACACAGCACCCCCAGACACACACAGCACCCCACAGACACACACAGCACACCCCCAGACACACACAGCGCACCCCCAGACACACACAACACCCTCAGACAGACAGCACCCTCACTCCCACACATATACAGCACATATATATTATATAAAATAACCCTCAGTGAGTTAACAGACAAATAAAAATAGAAACCCAGAATGTGACGGCAGATAAAAACACCCACACACACAGCACTCCTCTTACACAAACACGCTGCGCACCTCACACATACAATACGTCCAAATATATATATATATATATATATATATACACACACACACACACTCTACAGCACCCCTCACACTGCACCACTACACACATTACGCTCCAGATACACGCTAGATCCCTTACCCTATATGCACTCTTAATCCTCTACACACACACACACACACACACAATCTTCTATACACACTCTGGGTCCTTTACACACTAGATCTCTTACACACACACTGCACCACCTACACACACACTACATTCCTTGTAAGCAAACACATTCTCTAAACACACCCTCTCTACACACAGTAGTGTGTGTGTATAAGTGACACACACTACGTCACCTATACACACACACTACTGCCCATATGCACATACTCGCTACATCACCTATAACACTATGCCCCTATACACGCACTCTCTACAGCCCCTAGCCACACATATTACACCACAAACCCAAATGAAATCGACCTATTTACACAATACCACACCACACTCTACACATAGGCAATCCCACAAGCAGGCGCCAAACACATGCACCATACACTTTCCTGGCCCTTTTGTCCTCTGGTATCCCACTTGTGGAGACACCAGAGACAATTTAAAAGTAAACACAGCGCAAGCATGTTATTATATTTGCTTGCGCTGCGCAGAACAAATACAGGACCTTTTTCTAATGCTATAGCTCTTCAGCGGGGCTCTGCGCATTGAACCAACATGCTCACTTTCAGAGGGGGTGTACTTGTCATTAGTGATGACAAAACACACCCTCTCTGGCCCCGCCCCCTTCTTGGGGGGGGCGCTCTAATTGAAAAATGCCCGGGCCTAATTTTTTTCCCAGTCCGGCCCTGCCAAGATGCATTATCTTGCACTTATCCACATTAAATGTCAGTTGCCACAATTCTGACCATTTTTCTAGTTTACCTAAATCATTTGTCATTTGGCTTATCCCTCCTGGGGATTTATATTAATGATAAAAAAAAAGTATTAAAGGGACACTGTAGTCACCAGAACAACTACAGCATATTGAATTTGTTCTGGTTAGTATAATTTGTCCTTTCTACGCTTTTTGCAGTAAACACTGTCTTTTCAGAGACATTACAGTCTAGGGATACCACCACTGTCAACTCCTCAGACTGCTAGAGGTGCTTCCTGGGGCAGTGCTGCACAGTGTGACTGACTTTCAGTGTCTCTACCCTCTGCATGCAGACACTGAACTTTCCCAATAGAGATGCATTTATTCACTGTATCTCGATGAGGAGATGCCTGGATTAGCCAGAGTGGCATTTGCCTCTGCCCTCTGCCAACCTCCTTGGCAATCTCAGCCAATCCAATGTTTTCTTATTGGAAAGCATTATAATTGGTGGAGATCACCACTATTAAAGATGTCAGCCAAGAGGGCAGATCAGGGGCAGTGCCAGCAGCAGCAGACTGGAAAAAGATTTTACTATATTTAGGGGGGCATGGGGAGGCCAGGTGGGCCAGATGGTGGTTTTAACACTATAGGGTCAGGAATTCATCTTTGTGTTCATGACCATATAGTGTTCCTTTAATGCAAACAATGCAATAATAAGTTAATCCTTTATAAGCCAGGAATGATGTCTGATTTCCTTTAGAAAATAGCCACAACTTTAACCACCCGCCAGTTATTGATAGCTGAGATAAAATTTAGATTGGGTAATTGTGGTGAAAGTAACCTCGCCACTGGGTTTTGGAGAGGCCTGCTTGCCAGCCTCTTACCCTGTGACTGTGGCCCCTGGGGTGTATTGCCTTTTAAAAACACTGTCTGTGCATATTGGGACATAGCACAATGCCCCTTTCAAACATGTGGCGGCGGCCAACTTAAATTGTCCAGCAGTGTTTTGTCGTCAAGTGTATGGAACTGTTTTGGGCATGGGACTATGTGCACGGTGGGGCAAAAATAAGACTTCCGGGAAATTCCTGAACCCCTGAATTAATCTGGGTGATTTTTGGATATGTTGTTCACCCAGATCGGGGCTATCAAGGGATGTGACATGTGTGGATATGTTGTATTTTGGGGTACTTTTTGGGGTTTGTAAAAATGTATGTTTTTTTTTCTGCTTAGTTACTGTAATTGAGTTAGTGCATTGTCTTTGTTAATTGTATCACAGGCAGAGGGGAGGGATTGTGTACATTTTCTGGGAGTGTCTAACTGTACAGTACTGTTCTGATTGGCTTTGTGACCTGGGTGGTAACCTTGTGGGGAAAACTGAATAAAAGACAATATACCCTCAGATCTGCTGAGTTCCTGTTTAACCCTCAACATACAGTCTCGTCTCATGTGGGGGGAAAGGCTGCATCTACCCTGGGGATTGCTATATCACTATACTCCCCAGGGATTATAATCACTAAGCTCTTTTAAGAGCTTGTTCCTTCTACTCTCTCTTGGAGGAGAGGTTCACCCACTGGAAACTGGAGCCTTGTCGTAGGTCCAGGATGGTTAGAGGACGGTGAGTTCCCAGCCAAGCTGTAACAATGGATGTAGGGACTGCGGTGCTGATGGTCCTTGATAAGCACTAGGAGCATCAAGTGATGGAGGGTCCATCACAGTAATGGTCTGCAGACATCGTGGAGAATAATTGTTTATACTATGTCATTCATAGAACTTCCAATAACACTCACCTGTGCAGTAGACATCAAGCTTTATGGACCCGGTGAGTTTGTAGACATAGAACCTCCCAGGACAAGCTTTGACAGGAATGGAGGATCCAGGTAGGCAGCCAATCATTGCGTTAATGATAAGAGGCACCATCTTAACTCCCTCTCCCATAGCAGGATGTGGGCCACCAAGACTAAAGGGCTCAAGGGAGCCACACTTCAGGGGGCCAACACATCCCTCTACGAGGCTTAAACCAGCACGACCAGTGAATCGGAACCAGCCAATGTTGTATCGGTCGTTACGGAACCTGCCGGTAGACTGGATGGTGGACAATCTGGTTTCTCCATCCAGCTCCTGATAGTTTTCACAAGGATCAGCACACTGAATGTTTCCATTGACAGTCAGACAGTCCAGGTGATTTGGACAGACATCGGATGGACAGAGAGAATCCCTTTTGTTTAAACATAGGAAAATCCCATTCTTATTGATGCAGGTGGCTGGAGGAGAGCACTTGTTCAGTGAGGTATCTGCACATTCATCGATATCAACGCAAGTCTTCTTTTCCTTGTTCCAGGTGTATCCCTTGGAACAGCATTGGGAATCTCTGCAGGACAGAATTCTAGTGCAGTTCAGACCATTTCCAACATATCCATCTTTACAGGAGCAAGAAACGTATCCCGGCCGTTCATTGCAAATCACTCTGGTGAC